TAGCAGAGATGGTGGATTTCTTTATCCTTTTCTTTATCAAGGCATCAATAGTTTTGAGTATTATGCACTTCAGTGGAATAAAGTAAGTTACACAATATATAATGTGTTTAACTAGTTTCATTACCTCTGCTTCTTACTGTGTTATATATTTAGTTGTCAGTACAGTAAACTGTTCCATTCCAGACTGCAGGCACATATTGTATGAAATTAGTATATATTTCCTTCTTAAAGAATTATATTTAGAAAGTTTGTTTTTCATGGCAACCTTAAGCTATTTGTCTCCTGTGTTCAAACTGGTTGGAAATAAAAGTTTAAAAGTTTAAGAAAGTGGCTGTGCCCAGATTTCTATCTGTTCTCTATTTTGGCAGTGATGCTGTCTAGATATTTTGTCTGAATAGCAATTGTCTTGGGTCCCATTGGTAAATTCCCCTGGTTCTGTACTTTCTCCAAAGAAAATCCGCATCTTACTTTTCTTCCTCCTATTTAAGCTACAAAGGGAAATTAGTAGAACTGTTGTTCATTTCACCCAATTTAAAAAAGAAACAGAAAGGCCCACCAGCGTGCCAGTGAATGTTAAAAAAAAAAGTCTAGTCTTTGTTCAGACCACCAGTAAACCTATTAAAAAGAAAAAGGTACAGCATTTCACCAATTCACCTTGGGGGGTTGGGGGAGAGTCCATTGATTCGTTTTTCCACTGTGGAAAGGTCCCTTCAGAAGGGAGCAGGCAGTCCAGCAGCCCAGGACAAAATGGCCCTGAAGAACAGTAACCAGTGATCAGAGTGGAGGACATTTCTGCCACAGTGCACATTAGACATTGGAGCAGAGACATTTGCCTGCAGCAAAGTGAAACACAGCAGGCATATTGCACAGCATCACTACTGCCAGCTGAAATCAGAAAACACTACCTTTAATGCAGATCAAGAAAATACGGTGTAAGGTGCCCTGGTGCTCTTTTAAAGCATGGCTGTGGATCAGACCTTCAGATAAAACCAAGAGTTCTCTGGTTTTCCATTTCCAGTGGTCTAGTCATGGCAAGGTGCCTGGCATAAAGGAGCAAGACTGGCACTGGAGTTGATAAAGGGTTAGGATGTCTTATGAGAGAATGCTTGATATTTCAAGCTGAAGTTGCCCTCACATGCTGGGAATGGGTTGAGGATGGTGTCATACGTTCCTGTCCTCAAGAAACAATTAGTGGACCATTGTCATGCTAGAGCAGGCAGGATATAGAGCTCTCAGATACTACTTTCTCTGGCAGTCTGTTAACATGTTTTGCTATTAGAGTCTCCAAATTTAAAATAGATATCTTTTGTCCCCTGTATATTCTTCTGAAACAAAAATGAAACAAAAATGTCCACTAAATAAAAATCTTCACATTTACAATTATATTACCTATAAGCTGTCCATAGAATAGTATTACTTATTGTATTGTACTTCTGATGCAGGGATATCTCAAAGTTTGCTATGCACTACATTATAGAAGAAATAGATGATGAAACTTCCATGGAAGACTTGCAGAAAATGATGATAGTGGCCCTTATCTACAGATTGCTGGTCTGCATCTATGAGGTATACAAACTCTTATCTGAACAAACAATAGAACATCTATTTTGGAGACTATTTTCTTTAATCAGTGACCAATATTATTTTATGAACATACACTTTAATTTTTAGTTAACTTACTGAGTTTATATTAACCTAATAAATATTGAGAACATTCATAAAAGCCATTGACATCTAATACTGCCAACTGTACATAACAACCAAAATTCCAGTGTAACCAAGGATCAGAAACTGCATAAAATTATATAGATAAGAGCAAATTTTATTCAGGATGGCAGAAAACAGGTTATTTCTCCCATTCTAGTTATCTCTGCAAGTATGTCAAATATTTATTATATTTTGTTCATCTTGCATCAAGACAGCTACATCACTGATACATCACACACAGTAAAACATGTAATTTTAGTTACGAGAAACTTTTCTTTCAGATTATTTGCATTTGGGGAGCTGGTGGAGCAACTCCTGGGAAATTTCTGCTAGGCCTTCGAGTTGTGACATGTGATACATCTGTACTTATTGCACCAAGTCGTGTGTTAGTGATTCCGTCATCTAACGTGAGCATGACAACGTAAGTTTTATTTTTAGTCACTGCAAAATACAAATCCTTAGCTCTTTTTAGTAATGTTGTATACTGTAAGTACTTGAAAATATTATTTGATTTACATAATTTTTATCCCACACCTCAACCTTACTTTTAAGGATATTTTACATCCTAACTAAACTCAATGCAGACTTGTTTTTTTTTTTAAGTGAAACAAACCAACAATACATAGCTGGCAATAAAAATGCATGTAATAAATCTAGCTTAAGCTATTTGTGCATTATATAAATATCTAAATGAATTGGGAAAATTATTTATAATGCTTCTTACATATTAATCTGAATTATTTGCCCACTGTTGGGGAATATAATGCATAGTAAATCATATTTATCTTCCCTCAGAGCAGTTTTTTATATTATTTCATTATATCATGTTTCTGCTTCAGCTCTGGTAATTTGATTCCCCATAATATTTATATTTTCAGTAACTCAGTTCTATTCTGAGCTTTCCCTAAACAATCAGACTGTCTGTGATTAAGTAAGAAGTAATTCAACAGCATTAACATAATTATGTAAAGACTCTGAATCATCTGGAATGCTATATCACAACTTAAGCTATATCACTAACAATTGGTGCAAAAATATTGCTTGATATCCAGTCTTTGGGATCTGTAAGATTATGTTTCCGTCCAGAAAATTACTTAAATCTATAGATACATCTTTTTGAAGAAGCAGAAATTTTTTTCATAATGGCAGGAGAATGGTGTTCATAAAGTAAAGTAAACACTGTGGGAGTTAATTCTTCTATGCAGAAAGCAAAAATATGAGTACAGAAAGGTTAGCTAATTCAAAAGTAGAAATTACTCATTGGAAGAGTAGGAATAGAAAAAAAAACATCTTTATTGATGTATTTGACAATATTTTTGAGGATATTTGTTTTTTTAATATGTACCACTATGTCTATAGTCTCCAGTGCAGACAACAGATTCTAGAGATATGTATGTTTTTTCCTTGCAGGTCTACAATACGAGCTTTGATCAAGAATTTTTCTATCGCTTCCTTCTTTCCAGCATTCATTACTCTGTTATTCTTTCAACATAACAGAACAGCCTATGATATTGTAGCAGGGACTATTGTAGTAAAAAGACGTAGTGTCAGATGATACTCAAGGACACCTTTATTCCACTGTTCAAATATACTGGAGCCACCTTGCTGGATTTCTGAATCTCACTCAAGAACAGTGCCAATTAAGACATTAAGTTTGCTTTTTTCCAGCAATGCAGTAGGCATTGGGGAACAGCACTGACTGAATTTGAGAATATTTGAACAGAGCAAGAACACTCCAAATCTTCAAAAGTCATTGGCAGTTTCACAGGAAAAGTATCTCTCTTGTGAGAGGAATACTAATTCTGTATCAAAAGATAGATTTATTTTTATGAATACCTAAATTGTTGTCATTATTGGAGTAACCAAAGCAATTACAGTGTTTTTGAGGGAAATTTACCACAGAGAATTGTATGCTTTTGTTTTGATGGACTCGTAAGAATTTGCTACTCATATAAAAGCCTTATCATTAATTGCTCACACAACCATTGTATTTTAAATACTGAAGAGATTTCTGTAAATGTGTTAAATGTCTTGCATGATGTGGATATCTTGAACAAAATACAAATTCAACGTATCAAATATTATGAAGGCAAGTAAAACTAGTATTAATAAAAGATAAATACTGAGCTTTGGCAGTACTGCTGTAGACAACTAAGACAAATTGCAGTTTAATCCCTGCTTTGGATGGATTATAAATTGTTTTATTACTCTTTCTCCCTCTTTTCCATAAAGATTTGGAGTTTTCTATTAAAGCACAGAAAATTTAAATCTGTATTTTATTGTGTAAAAATACTTAATTTCAGATGTATTTAACAACAGCCAAACTAAACTTTGAATAAACCAGAGAAAATTTATGCATAACTTTTTGCACCTTTTTATAAGAAAATGAGGTGTTTTTTTTTAAATTACACTATTGCTAAAGCAATACAAGGAATTTGTGCAACAAGTGTAAAAAAATGTAAATAAGTACTGTCATTTTATCTGCCTGTGTGCCTGGATCACTTAATTATACTTACTAAATAAAGCCTATTTATTTTGCATGATTTATTTTTATATATATATTATTTAAGTGAAATAGCTAATTATTAGCAGCTTCTTAGAGTTGACACAATGATTTAACAGTGATATTTGTTGTTAGTTTTCTGTTCATTTAGGATCAATATAGAAGAAAAAGTTTAATTAGGTTTGGCTAATGTACAATGAACAATGAGACAAAGTTCTTTTTCAAAGTGGGTTTTTTTCATATTTGTCTTTTGAAAAGGGTACTTATATTCTACATTAAATTTTCCACGTTCTAACTGAATAAAGTTCAAATGTCAGCTATGCTTTTTTGTGGGAGCAGAAGCAAGTGTTTCGTATCAGATGCTTGTGACCTATGTCTGTAAAGTATCAAATGCCTGAAGATGATACCTGACAAAGGTAGAGATTTTTCAGTTATTGTCACAAAATGTCAGCAAGTTTCTAATTGTTAAGCAAATGATGAATAGAGACTAATTAATCTGAGTTGATTAGGAGAAACAGTTTATATTTCTTTGTTAAGAAAAATTATGACTTGCTTTGAATTCAAACAAATGAATGGCTGAGAAATTATTAGAGGGATCATGAGAGATTTTTGCTCTAAAATATATATTGTAGGTTTAAAAAATTAAATATTTCATCTTTCTGTATTTAGGAAAGTACAAGTTGAGGCAAGTTTAGTCTATGGGCTGAAAAATCAGGTATAAATAGCACTGTTGCTACAATTCTCAGCACTAACAAAAGTGTATTATGAGAGGGCTGGCTTACTGGAAAACATAAATGAGGTACAGTACAGAGGAAATATACCACAGAGGTGTATTTATAATGATAAAGATACTAATTCAGCACTTGCAGGTACAATATAATAAGTGTCTCAGTAATTATAACCTACCCTGTATTCTGGGAAATCAATCAGAAGTAGTTTCACATTACATTTTTGAATTATGTGCCACTTTGCCTCAACTTACAGTTGGCATCTGCTGAGGACAGGTAATCTACTGCATCTCTGGATCCATGGTAATTAAAACATTCTAACCCCTTTGATGTTGAGTGACACCCCAGTTTCTTACTGAGAGCAGTAATTGATGCAGAAGCATGGTTAAAACCTATATGCTGTAGAAAGTTTGGGAAAACACTGTGTGCTTCATGGCATGCTAAGCTATGCTTAATATTAATTATGCGTTAATATGCTAGTTGCTTCCCATGTTAACTGTAATCCTAGCCACTTTTGTAGGGAGAGGTGGGGGATGATAATCACCATCTGGCTTTAATGTATGTTGCAGGGGAGGGTGGTGTGTGTGCTCTTGGAAAACAATGTAGCGGCCTGATTTGGCATCATGCTATATAGGGGAAGTATGTGGCTGAGCTCCCAACCCTATCCCGTTGGTGTCCCCAAATCACTTCCTGTGACTAGCGGAATGCTGAGACTGGAGTGGCCCTCTGTAGCACCATTCTCTGTCTAGAGGCTATGAGAGTTAAGATGGCACCATGATTAGAGTAAATCAGCTTAAAACAAATTGGATGTAAATGTATTTAGGGAACTGTGTTACTCCATATGAATTGTAATTTAAGGTATGGAATGGTCTAAGTTCCCTGTCACACTAATTGCAGTTGCATCATGGCTTAATATGTTATTCAAACTATATCCCAGAGAAGAAAACAGGTGAAAGGAAATATTAAGTCCCTGTCATAGTGAACAGAAGAAAGCACCAGGTTAGTTATTAGATTTAGCTTGCCTTTATGCTTCCACTGTCTCTCTCCCATCTGTTGTTGTTATTTAAAAGGCATGTTTGTGCATGTTGCTCCATGATAACCCAGTGCTGCATTTCTACAAATTCAGCAAGATCCTTATAATAGATATTTTATGGCTTACATTGTATATCTTGCCAAGCATAATCATTTGTAGAGAAAAGAATGAACAGGTGCTTTGATTACTCAGCATTTTGGTAATAATTAACACTAATGATTTTGTTACTAACACAGAGGTTAATTAGGGCAGCAGTTGAAGTACTAGTTCTGCATTACAGTATTACTTTCTTTTATTGTGTATCCAGATTGCCCTAATCTTTGATACCATACTGCAACATTATTTCCTATATATTTATATTGCTTAGCATAAATAAATTCATAAATCTGGATCAAATAGTTGGGAGAGTCAAGACAATTTCATTTGAATGTATTAAACTAAACCCATCACAGACTGTTTTACAGTTACAGCTTTGGGCAAAATATATTGCCTTCATAAGTATACAGTTGTAAGTGTTCTTTTTAAAGAAAAGCTTCTGTATTCAACTACCTTGTAAATTTGCTTATTTAATACATCAATTGGATGTCTATAATTTCCATTTTTGAAGTTAGTTTTTAATTACAGAAATTTGGAAGATCTTCAGTATAAAATAGCTGTTCCCAAAGGATGTATCTCTTTATGTAAGATTAACAAGTTGGTTTGAATAAATGTTCACTTTTACATTAATGTGCATTGTTATATTACTGACCTCTCTCGGAAAATGTAACTCTAAATTTGTGTTGTGGTAGAGGGAAAAAATGAGAGCCAGTTAGATGTAGTGGTTAAGACATCAGGCTAGAAACCGGGAAACCATGAGTTCTAGTTCTGCCTTAGATACAAAGCTAGCTGGATGACCTGGAGCTAGTCCCTCTCTCTCTGCCCTAGGAAGAAGGCAATGGCAAGCCACTTCTGAAAAACCTTGACAAGAAAACTGCAGGGACTAGTCCAGGGACTGACTCAAAGATACAAAAAAAAAAAAAAGGCAAGCATATATTCTCCTGTGCAGAATGCCCATCTGGCAGCAATGCCAATTTGTCAGCCATTTCAGGAAGCAATAAGTCCTGAGTATTATACTTAAATCACTATACCAGCAACATTAGCACTGTAAAGAGGAAATGGACAAAATGGAATCAAACTAAAAATATCATATGAATTATCCATTAAGGACCTTGAAGAGATGAGAAGTGAAATTGCTCACCAGCAAAAGATAATACAATATAGGAGGTTGTTGATTCCCACTGCCCTATGACCTTAGGAAGAAAATGGTTGAGGTGGGGATTGTTGGAATGAGAGGGAGGAGTACAGTGATTGGGATTGATGTGTGTAGCAGAGGTGGCTTCCAGGCTCTTCCTCCATAGGGTTGGAGTTTATTGGAGTGCTATCACTCTAAGTGGAATATAAATGGTGGGTCATGGGAGCCTCGGGGTCAAATGTGGTGTGGGGTATGGAAATACCTCATGTATTTCCATGTTGATGAACTGTGGGAGATATGATGAGAGGTGGTTAGTTAGCGATTCCAGAGAAAGGAAGACTTGTAATTTGGTGCTGGTTCCCACTGCCTGCCCTCCAATCTTGGTCCTTGGGCTGGGTGATAGGATTGCTGGTCACTATGGCCTCAGGTTACTGCTGGTAAATGCCACATCCACGCACAATAAAGTCTTGTTCCTATATGATACAATACTGGACATGTGTGTGGATCTATTTTGCATTATGGAGACTTGGTTGGTTAAAGATGGAGATGTAGCCTTATCTGAAATTTGCCCACCAGATTTCTAGGTGCTCCAGTAGACATAGCTATGGAAGAGGTGTGAGACTTTGGCCCTGGCCAGAAGTGATGCTCCTTATGACGTGAGTATGAATGCATTTACATTAGGCTTTAGGATGGAGACTATTGCTAGTGTACCATTACCTTGCTGCTTGGAAACAGCCCTCACTGAGCTCATTCTCAATGTGGGGCTGGCAGTGGAGACAGTGCCCTGGGAATGGAATCCAGAGATGCTCAGGAGTTTTTAGTCTCCATGATAATTATATGCCTCTCCCAGGAGAATTCAGACCCAACACATACAGTGAGAAATGTGGAGTCTGCTTTATTTTTTTTTTTACCTTGGAACAGAGGTAATGTGATTGAGAATGGCAGAAGTTGTCATTATTTCTTTGAAGTGGTCAGATTCTTTTCTTGTTCACATGCATATTGTTAGCAAGCTGGATCTCCATAGGGCAAGGAACTGATTAAGATGGTCCACCCCAGGTGAATTTCCAAGTGAACTGGACAGTTCTGCCCTGCATCTTGCTTACCTCTGGAATACAGAGGTTGTGAGAAGGCTGGCTGAGATTGCCCCAAGTGGCCTCTCCTCCCTAATAAATTCCAACAAGCTCAGTGGAATACTAAGGAGCTATGGGAAATGATGCAGGTGAAGAGATACTGGAGTGGCAATGGAGAAAACAAAGATGACTATGATTGAACATGATTGCGTATTCATGTTCAGAAATATACCACAAGTTATTACAGGTAGTCCTTGCTTACTGGCTGCCTCATTTAGTGACCAAAGTTATGACAGTGTAAAAAAAAATTGAGCTTTGCCACCAGTCCTTGCATTTACAACTGTCGCAGTATCCCACAGTCATGTGACCACCATCCGGGCGCTTCACAACCAGTGTACATTTACAGTGGTACCTCAGGTTACGAACACCTCTGTTAACGAACTTTTCAGGTTACGACCAGCTCCGGCCGCAAAAATTTACCTCGGTTTGCGGACTCCGC